AATTGAGCAATTAAACACCAAGCCATGAAGACGTATGGGGAAGTGGAGATATTACTTCAGCATTGTTGACATTGGTACTAGATGGAGGTGAGTGGTCCAGCTTTAAGCCTCGGCTGTTTTACCCTCAGGGAAAGAGCCATCGCTATCCATTGGATAGACGGATGGGTGAATTAATAGTGTGTCACAGAGTTTCAATGTCTGACGGCAGAACTTCATTCTGCAACTCTGAGCTCAGAGAAATTATATTTTGCTTTTCCCTCATGGTATTCCAGACTACCTCAAAGTTGTATTTCTTGTTGCTATGACAACCCATATCTAATAACCCCCTTGGCTCGTTTAAAGGAACTAACATGTCACCTCGTCACTCGTTATCGAATGGAGAGAGACAAGAATCGAACGTGATAAGGAACTACAAGCTTTATTGACGTGTCAGCTACGGTTACCTCATTAGCGGCAGTAAGGCAAGTACAGCGTGATTACAAACAACCAACATTAAAGTCGACTTTGCGTCAGGGCGATCCAAATTCTAAGTTACGGGTAACAACGAAACCAACGTTACATTTGACACCAGATTTTCGTGCTCTGAAGCGAAATCGAATAACAAATTTCCGGGTAACTGAAACAATGAAATCTACGGCCAGTTTCAGTGTCTGGTAATGGAAGATATGGGGAGTAGAATTCTGTATTTCATGGGAATTCAAAACTGTAATACAGGGCTATTACAAATGATTTGGGTCACAATGAACGGCATTTGAGAAATGGTTGCAAATATAAACATTAAATAAAATTATAGNTGCTTATATGAACACAGACTGGCTATAAAGTCAATATTGATTTCTGCTGCTTAAAGTTCGTTGACAAAACTTGCGGAGTCTCGTTCCTTCGCCACGTTTGTACGTTTTACCAAACTGCAGATTTCAAGCTCCGAACACAGGATTCGCCATATTTCCAAAGCAGCCAACCCTCGGCGCTGACCCCTGTCCTCCACTTCCGGCTCATCACTAATCTGACACGAATGGAAAACACAAAGAATTCGCAGCACTAAAGAGCAGACTCAAAGAAATAGTAACTAAGAAAATGACACGTTGATGGATGAGGATTGGTCTGAAAGAAAGGCAAACAAGTAACACAAGTCAAACACGCCGAGTTGGAATAACAGGCCTAAAAGCTTCCAGTTGGGAGAAACTAACCCTTAACTGCATCAGTGGGCAGGGAACACAAAGGAATCAATAACCAAGATTAACCCTACAGTCAAATCTGGCCAACATGAGGAAGGCTCTTAAGTTGCTTAACAAAGCTTAACAACCTGCTCAACCATCACGAATTAGACCCCCTGGCGTGTTCAGGCTAAAAGAAATCTGTATCAACTTCATACGCGGTAACCAGAATGATCTCTGCCATCCCTTGGGAATCAAACCCCGGTCGTCCGTCCACGCAGCCTAGTCATTACGCTCATCGGACTTCTGCCTTCCAGTGCTGTCACCTGAAAAACTAACTTAGGGCTTCTAGTCAGTTATTTGTGATATGCTGATCATGTACAACGAACGTCTCAACTTTGCTACAATTTTTTCTTTATTTTAGCTGACGGGCCAATGCTGCCACGGGAACACTTCGATGGCCACTAATACCGGGAATAAATCTGCAAATCGAAGTCACATTGAAACAGAATGTATTCGGAATAAAGCAGTCTTCTGGGATGTGGCACCGTGTAGATGTGTTAACCGACGTTTCAAAGGAACGTATCGCCTCCTTCTACCCTGAAGATGGAGGCCATACGTTCCTCCGAAACGTCGGTTAACACCACATCTACACGGTGCCACATCCCAGAAGACCGCTTTCTTCATAGTCACCGCCGTGAAAACCTAAAATCTTACAGAATGTATTCCGTCATCCATAACAGACTACATTCACAAAACTGAACAATTCAAATTACGATTAATATCAGATTCAAATAGCTGAGGTATCAGGTAGTTTAATTATTAATACGTTTCAATTTAATGAATGTAACAGACAGTACAAAATTATTAATCTGCTGGTCACAGGCCTGCATGAATCTAGTTAACAAACATCTGGAATCAATGCATACAAAATGTAAACACACAGCATCCTATACATTTCAAACGATGCGGGTTATGGGGAGGGGGAGGCTGAACCGCGGAAACACGGATCTGAAACAGGCTTTACCCGTTGTACTAACACTCTGAACCCTTACCACCCCGTCTGTTTTGACCTATTTAGCATGTGAAGCCAGGATGACTTGCACAGCACTGACGCCTTATATTCGGGAGATAACCAGTTGGTTTCTTGCTTGGCGGACAATACGGCATAAATCTTGATTTGTTCCATGTGTCACAAGAAATCACTAGGGTGGTTGCAAAGGCATATACTGTGCATTTCATTCATTCATCAATGGTTCTACAGCCCTTTGTTGGGCTCTTGGCTTCTTCTTCAGCTTCGTAATCTTTTCTACACCGACGGTAAGGCCCTACATATACACAGAATAAACGCACACACAGACACACATCACTTGAGTGGAATTCGAACCCATGATCACAGCGTTCGAGCGAGCGAAGACAGTTCATTCCTTAGACCGCGCGGCCAATGTGATAGGCACAATGAATTAGAATTAATTCCCCCATCAGAGCCAAGTATTGGTTCTTGTGCCCGTCAGAAAAACGTATGTAGCTGGTTACGAGACAAAAGAATGAAGACATAACCAGTGCTTGGAACTGTATGGGAATGCTTCACTAGTATACGACAAGCTTCCTGCTAAAGTGATCAGCAGGGCCCGGATTATGATGACTTGTCATCTTTTTTTTCTTCTATCCTATACGATGCTCTTAAGTATATAAATCTCGGATATGAGCTGCTGGTTACAGAAATGTAAATTTTATAGGTAATTTTTTGTCATTTTTTTAAATTTTTAGGTTTTAGGTCATTTTTTCGTTTTGGGGATAATTGTTTGGTATTTTTTGGAACTTTTGAGGGCATTTCTTGTCATTTTTTTGCCATTTTAGGGAATTTTTCTTCATATGTGTTCTGAAATGTGAATAACATGGAAGCGAAGTGTTCTTTCTTTTCTCCTTTAGGTCATTTTTCTGGGTTTTATCGGTCATTTTTTTAATATTTTCAGGTTACCAAAATCCGGGCCCTGCATATTACATTTTTGGGTCATATTTTAGTTCATTTTTCGGTCATTTTATAGGTCATTTTTTAAATATTTTCAGTCATCAAAATCCGGACCCTGGTGATCAGCATCTCAAGAGACCGGAAAGGTTTACTCCCGAAATTTAGAGCAAACCCTAACATTTTCCTTGTGATTTTTCGCGCTCTGTTCCTGATATTCACTTATTGCAGAAATAGACACCTTCCTGTCGTGCAGAAAATGATTTTATTTGTGGTTACTTTCGACGCTTTTCACTAGCTAAGCTGTACATTGTCGAATGGATAAATGGATGATCTGGAAGGGATTTGCAAGGAAGCGATCGTGAGATAATGGCTGGACTATCCCGGAATTTGCCTGGATGTGGTGAAGAAAACAACGGAAAATCCCCGTTAGGATAGCCAATGTCCTGGCCGAGATTCAAACCAAGCATCTCCCTAACACGAGTCATGAACACTACCGCTGAGCCCACCCGCTCGTTGGCCAATAATTCTTCTTCTTGTATTTTGTTAACACACACCACACACCTATAGAAACAAGTGCTAATTAAAAGGTAAAGGTAAAGTTGTCCCCGTGCTTAACTAATTAAACACTACGCCATGAAGGCGCACGGGTGATCAATGTATAGATCCACATTTCTCTTGACCTCGGCACTAGTTGGATGTGAGTGGTCAGTTTCAAGCCCCGGTCGCTTTACCCCCGGTACCCATTGGATAGAAGGTTGGGTGGACCCCAGAGCAGGTCTGGACGGCGTGGAGAAAATTCTTGACTCTATCGAGACTCGACCTCCGAGCCCTTGGTCTTCCAGCCCGTAGCCAGTCGCTATACCGACTGCGCTATCCCGGATCCGTTAATTAAATACTGTAAATGTGAATATGAGCCATATGTTTGTTTTATGTAAGCCTACAATTAGTACACAAAGGGGCAGACTTCAGCTTAGCATAAAGTAGATGCTTTATTTGGTCAAAATTAACATGACACATTGGACAGCCCTGATCTATGTGAGAATTAGAGCCATGCGCTTCGTTCAAAATAGCATACAAAATGTGTATATGCATTCGAATGTGTATATATATAAAGAGATTATGACATTTCATTCATCAAGAACGGCATCTCAAAACTCTCAATGGGCTTATAGAGACATTTCGCAAGCGCTGCGGCTTGGGACGTGCCTAATTACACAACAGCATTATTCCTTAATTAACAGCTTAATGTTCAACTCCTTCGGGCCAGATTACACCTTTCACCGAGGACTTAACAACAAACCTTCCAATTACGCCATGCTTCAGCCATTCATCCTTCGCAACAAACATCAGAGACAGTATGCCTACGTGAACTCTATAATGTGTCTTAGAATCCACTTCATAAACAGAGACACACCCATACTTCGGTGAAGTTGACAACAGAGGACAATTAGAAGATATGCTAAAACAGGGATGTTAACATTCGGTGTAAAAGAAAAGTAAAGCTATCCCTGTACAAGGCCGTGAAGGCTCACAGGGTTGTTAGACGTTGAGGGTCCCACATTATCTAGACAATCTGCTCAAAGATGGCGGTAAGGTTGTCAGCCTTACGCGTCGGCCGCGCTTTACTCCCCAGGAAAATTATTTAATTAATTCCTGGTGCTCATTTCTGTTAAAGGCTGAGTCAAACCCAGGGCCATAGTGCGGCTGGAAGGATTAGGTAAAGTGAAAAAAATCCAATGACCTCATCGGGACTTGAACCCGCGACCTTCCAACTCGTAGCATAGCCCCTCAAACAGGTGAAATGTGAAGTTACAGTTCAGCAGGACATGAGGGCGAGAATTATTAAAGAACGAAAAAGAAAAAAGACTTACAGTTTCCAGAATTATGAATCGCCTTGATTGCTTTCTTCATCTTGGTTAAGCCGTCACGGTCGAAATCCAACGTCTGGAAAAGGACAGGAAAAAGTCATTATTAACTTCGTTACAGCCTGAGAGTTCAAAGTCAGACAGCCAAGACTGTGTACAAACTCACTAGCAACACGCAACCGAGCAGGTATGCGTCTACATACATGGCGAAAGTTGTTGAGACTCAGAAGTAATCTTCCAGATACTGTGATAGCAGAACCCCAAGGGCTCCCCACTTCTAATCCCAAAAACCGCCACAAGACACGATCCTGAGCAAACTCCATCCACCTCTCATCCTAACGAAGTATTTCCTTAACAAAAGCCGTACCATAGCTCAAGTGGTTAGTCGCTGGCTTTCCACCGCGGCGGGCCGGGTTCGATCCCGATCTGGTCAAGTGGTATTTGTGGTGGACAAAGTGGCGATGGGGGAGTTTATCTCCGAGTACTTCGGTTTCCCCTGCCAATCTTCATTCCACCAATTGCTCCACAATCACCCTCACCTATCATCTGCGGCTGGTACAATAGGCCAGAAGTGGCCGCAGTACATGGGACTTAGTCCCACCCCACTAGCAATAATAAAAAAAAAATCATTAACATTCATCTCAATGGTGCCATCCAAACTCATTCTTTGTCATTCAAGTCGATGTTTCCTAAGAGGTTCCCCATCAAAATTTTGTATGCACTCCTTGTCTCTCCCATCCTAGGCACATGCCCATCCCACTATTAAACTATGAACACTCAACAGTTTGCACAACTCACAAAATTCGCAGTTACTTAATCGCCTAACTCCACCTCCTTAGAGCCATATGTTTTCCTAGTCACTGTTTTCTCAAACGCTTGATTTACGTTTTCCTTCAGAGCGACATCTGTCCTCCAAAGTGATTGATAGTCCTTACCGAACAGCCCAGCGGCAAGGGCGCAGTATCAAACTTCTCACTGAAATCTTACCCCATGAAATCAAAACTATATTTCCTAACATTATTCAATAAAATTGTCTTCCTTTTAGGGCCTATTAATACTTACTTACTTACACATGGAGCTGAGCCCTTCTGCAGGAGCCGCCAATTGTGCAGCTACTCAAGAATTTCCCAGCATTTTATGGAACCCGAAGGTTCATTACCGTGTTAACAAGAGCCCTCCACTGGTCCCTACCTTGAGCCAGATCAATCTAATCCATACGATCCCATCCTATCTCTCTAAGATCCATTTTAATATTGTCCACCCACCTATGTCTTGGTCTTCCCAGTGGTCTCTTTCTTTCTGGCTTTCCCACCAATATTCTATATGCATTCGTCTCCCCCATTCGTGTTACAGGCCCTGCCCACCTCATACTCCTATTAATACACACAACTTTAACGTTAAAGAACAGAATTAAAATTTATTCAACAAAATTGGGGTTCCAACAACCTTTACGTTCGCGTTATAAAGGTAAATCACCATTGCTGCTTTTTAATTGGACCGTAATAAAATAGCAACTACCCACCTAACTAATCATGGCTTTCTTCACGACAATTAACAGTTATTCTGCTGGGCAAAGAAAAAGTTCCTATTATGGAAACATAAGGTTCATTACCGTTCCCACATGAGCCTTCCATTGGACCGCACCTTCGGCTAAGGCCGTTTATATTTGGATAAACGGCCTGAGCTTAGGAAAACGGACATGAGATTTGGTACGTGGAATAACAGTTTCAAAAGAAAGTAGCAAAGTATAAATTAGATTTAGAGGGAGTACAGGAGGTCACATGGGACAGGAATGGCACTGAACCAGTGGGCGATTATAAAATTTTCTACCGAAATGGGAATGAAAATCATGAATTAGGGAAAGGATTTTTTGTACATAAGAAAATCATATCAAGTGATATGATGAAAACTGCATAACAAGGAGCTCCATAACTTTTACTCTTCGATAAACATAATTATGACGATAAAATCAGAGATGAGATGGGCACGGTATGTAACACGCATGGGGAAAAAGACGAATTCATATAGGGTTTCGGTCGGAAATCCACAAGGAAATATACCACTAGGAAGATACATGCGTAAGTGGGAAGATAATATTAAGATGGATCTTAGAGAAGTAGGATGTGTTATGAACTGGATTGACCTGGTTCAGTACAGGGACAAGTGAAGGGCTCTTGTGAACACGGTAATGAACCTGTGGGTTCCATAAAATGTTGGGAAGTTCTTGAGAAGCTGAGCGACTGGCGGCTTCTCAAGGACTCAGCTTCACAGAGTTACTTTTACTATAGAATTTCCGTTCAAGGGAAAAAGAACGTTGTTTAATTTCCTACTTCTGATTAATAAGGAAACGTCGGCTTCTTTAATCATGTACACTTCGTGAACTGTTCGCCGTTCGATTCTGTATTTAAACTGTAAAGTTATCATTACGTTACAAGGAGAGTGGCTGCATGATTCATGTCCGCTTCTTTCAACCCGCCAATGCAAGCCACACAACTCGGCACTTTTACGTTAGGATACTGACATCACGTGCACACCACGATTCACTGTATTAGTCTGTTGCAAAATACACTAGAAATCAGAGGGCGTATATGAACAGAGTTTACTTAAATCTTGCAAATAGCATCATATTCTGGAATGTTACAAAGAGTTATCCGGTAGAATTTCAAGGAATTCTCCGAAACGTAGGTGAATATCTACCGGACTAGACGGCGTCACATCCCAGAAAATAGTACTCTTCAAAGTTACCACCGTCAGAACGTCAAATCCAACATAAGTTATAAACTACATGGAGCTGTAACTCCAAGCAGTCGCATATACGCACCTTTTGCCGTCCTGAAACCTAGGACATCGAATAAACGGGCGAACAGAATAAATTCTGGTGCATGTCTTGAAATGATGATAATCTTTTAAAGCTTCATAATCAAGTTCACGCTCCATAATGAATACTAACTACACTTCACACATATTAAGTTGCTACCTTAAAGTCACAGGAAAGAAAAAAGGACAAAATGAAACAAAAGATTGTTCCCTCGTTCGTGACCCGAATAATTTACTGTTACGGTATATAGTACAATGGGATATACCTGGTTCGTTCGTACTTACGCTCGACAATTCTTTTTTACAACAATCAGAAACAGCGAGAAGCCGCAGCTTTACTGAGTCCCACACCATGGCGACATCTGTAGGAGCTTTCGTTAACTCACAATTTCAATCGAACGAGAACGCCTGAGAATTCTAGACATCTGTACAGACTGAAATTATAATGTGACAGTTATGGTACTGGTACTGTCAGAGCGACTGAATAAATGATAGGATGGGTTAGACATGTAGCTAGGATAAGGAAAGCCTGGCCCGTCAGGTTATGATGGGCAGAAAAAATCTGGGAAAACAACACTCAGATAACAGTGACGGCTATGAGGGTAAAGTAAAGTAAAGCTATCCCTGTAACAGGCCGTGGAGGCCCATAGGGTTGTGAGAGGTTGAGGTTCCCACATTTTCTAGACAATCGGCTCATAGATTGCGGCAAGGTTGTCAGCCTTACGCGCCGGCCGCCCTTTACCCCCAAGAATATTCCTAATACTCATTTTTGTTAGAGGCTGAGTCGACCCCAGGGCCATAGTGCGGCTGGAAGGATTATGTCAATTGAAAAAAAAATCCAATGATCTCAACGGGATCTGAACCCGCGACCTTCCGGCTTGTAGCATAGTGCCTCAACCAACTACGCTACCGCGTGCCCCGACGGGTATGAGAGTATAAAATTAAAATGAGTCTTAAGAGAAAATAGGACGAGGAAAACCACTGGAATGCTCTAACAAGTCTCATAATTGGACTAGGCTACATTTTTCAGTTGTTACTCCTGCCAGCCATCCATCCATCTATGTCGTTAGAGCCCTTGTGGACCTTGGCCGGGGGGTCAGCCAGTCACACAGAACTCAAACACATAATAAACGCAGACAGACATCCATGCCTCCAGTGAGATTCGAACCCAGGATCCCAGTGTTTGAGCGAGGGAAGACGGTTCATGTCTTTGACCGAGCGGCCACTGTGATCGGCTCTGTTAAATCGACTTACTGGTATCGACGGAAAGAACTAGAAGTCTCTAATCTTGTAACTACCTAACTGAGCAAACTTCAAAAGCACGCTTTACTTCAGGGAAACAATGTCTCTCCACACAGATTCTGGCTGCAGAGAGCGCTTACACCGGCTGGGATATCATGATTCGGCAGGTTCAAGTGAGAATTTGCTGCGCCTACTTTCTCTCGGATTCTTCAGACCTGGCGAGGTTCAACAATTATAAGATACTAATTTATTCCGTGGATCAGAGTCCTTCCTGAGAAGCTGATAGCCCTTACTAGGTCACCGTCTTTTATTTAACCAAAAGACAAAAGACCAAAAGAACTTCCCAACTTTTTATGGAACCCAAAAGTTCATTACCGTGTTCACAAGAAAGAGCCCTCCACTAGTCCCTATCCTGAGCCACATCAATCCAATCCATACCATCCCATCCTATCTCTCTGAGATCCATTTTAATATTGTCCACTCACCTACGCATTTGTCTTCCCCCTATATGGATTTCTCCTCTCCCATATTCGTGCTACATGCCCTGCCCATCTCATCCTCTGCCATTCTAATTATACTTGGAGAAGCGTACAAGTAGGTCTCACAAACTGACAAACAGAGAGCTATATGCTGGCCTTCTCTGTAAAATTAAGTAAACTCTCTGCCACAGTCAGATGCAACTAACTTCCAGCTCCTGGATCGCGAGCGAAATACGAGAACGCAAATAAAGGCCACGGACAGATTAGTGAACAGGAGAATTCTGTAGAAAGGAAATATTTGTTTTTGCATGCTGGAATATAAATATCAAACAGAAATGTCGGAGAAAAGGAAAATGAAAGAGCCAGCAAGGTCACATGCATCCGTCTCTCTCTCCGCCTTCATGTCGAGTGTTGCGTCATTCGTATGGTGAGCCTATGTCAACAGCAGACGTTGCAAGAATGACAACGACCAGAGCTGGACACGATGCTGATGCAAAACGTCGCTGAGCAAGTTAACTCACGTCGCGCATAACAGTGCGTA